CCAGCTTTAATTAAATGACGTGCAAAATGCGCGCAGCACGCTTTTCTGAATTTCCGGAAAACCTCCCCCCCCCCGAGTCTGTACATCGAGACGGGTCAACCAGAAACTGCCGTGCCACGCACCGCGTGCTCTTGATACGACGCGAGGCGTATTCTAGTGCGCAATGAGCGCGTGAAATTTTAAACGCGACTCCGTGTTATTCCGAAGGATTTCTTCATCGCGATGTCACCCACTCGCTTCCGAGATGACCAGAGAGGTTTATCCTACGTACGCGATATAAGACACGTCCGCACGAGAAATATGATTCCACGTAAGAAAACATCACTCGAGCAAGTGCCGACACTTTTCCACATTATATCCCATCGTACGTTTTTGCGACTACGGATCGTCAGTCGGAAACTAAATTCTTCGCCATTCAACACGTTCATAAGTAAATGTTTTATGTTGAATCAACTTGCGCAAATTACTCACAAAGTATTGATTTCAAATCGATAAGAATAACTTTGTAACAAAGAATCTAAAAATTTGGCCAGATACAAATATGAAAAATAATTATATAGAATGTTCAAATTGATTGGTAAAATATAAAAAAAAATTGCAGCATTATCATCATATTTAGAAATCTCGGATCAATTATTTAAATAAATAAAGTAAATGTTAAATAAAGTAAAAATGTATTCTGAATGAAAATGTAATTAAGAAATAAAAATCTCAATTTTTTAATACAAGTTTTAAGCATTCAAAATTATTTGTATAAAATTTCATTGCAATACAAAGATTAGTTCTATGAATAAAAATTTAATTTTTATGTATAAAAGAATATCTACATTACAATGAAACTTTACTTTTTAATAAATCATTTTGAAAAGTACTTAAATATAAAAAGAATTGAAATTGTCAATTATTTTTACTTTTTATTTTATTTTCATTAGTTTTTATTTTTTAATTAAATTTCTAAAACACATTTCTATTTTAAATTTAAATATTTCTCGATCCAGATTCTGCCTATATAAAATTTCTTGTATTACTTTTAAATGCAATCTAGAATTATAATTAATAATTTTTTCATCGTAAAATAGGTGTAAAAATAAGTGTAATAGATCTATAATGTCTGTGCGATACATTCCTACACGTATGCAAAGCAATTACGTTCACGATTCCGTCGGACGAATCGAGCGATCAGTCGATCGGCCGGACTATCGCGATCTCGCTTCGCTATTTCGCGTGCACGTAATTACCTTCGTTATATGCGGACGCGCACGCATCAGCATTGCGGAGAAAAAAGTACCGCACTTCCTTTCGCTTCTCTCCGAAAGAACACGTTCACCACTCTTGAGTAATCTTGAGCAATCGTAGTAAATATACGCGTCGATAATGAGACAACATTGCTATTAGAATCTTGTATATTTATGATCTTTTAAGGAATATCACAAATTACATCCTGAATTTCCACACAAATCCTTATATAAATAAAATAACGGATGTGCAATCCATCAAATTATAACACCTAATTTGAGCAAATAATATCCTTCACGAATCATCTTTTTCTCTGCATATTAGAATTGTTCCGATTATTATTTTTTCATAAATCGTAGGGCGATAAATTAAGCAGAAATTCGCATCAAAACTGCGTATTCCAATTGCGATTTTCGCCGTGTTTCCGATGTTGAGTGGCGATATTTCACTCATTAAGAATTTCCAAGGATGAAAAATGGCTTCATTTTCTCGCGTATATTGCCACCCTCGTCGCGACAGGCCCTTCGTTTCGCTCGCGTGCAATAAATAAAGTGACGGTCGCAGTAATTTCAGCCACGCACGATTGAGAGCTCCAACGAATTTCCGGCCGCGCACAACGTCGGTATTAATTATTCGTAGCAGTTAGTTTTTGCTGAATTGCAGCGTTCCACATTACGAATGTCGCGAGTGTATCAAGTGGAGACGAGCAAGGGTTCATTACCGCCGAAAACTGTGTTTGTCGCGAAAACATACATCGCCCTCGTTTCGCTCCGTTCCGGAATTCATAGCTATCGTTCGTCGACAATTAATTATCGTGCATTCGAGTGCAAAGGAGAGAAATGTGGATTCTCGCGCATAATTAAATTCTAATATTTTTCTATCGTTACATAACACCGCCTCATCTGATATTTGAACGGCGAAGGGGTTAACTGAGAACAGAACAACGTACATATTCCGGTCGCGTCTGTCTCGCAATTCTCTCCCTCTCGTCGCATCCGTCAAGCATCCAAGTCACGCGCGTTCGAAATAACGTAATCCGGGAGATATACCAATATATATACCAATTAATATTCCGTATTGGGTTACCAACATATCGACACGAGATCCGCGACCCGACGCGTCGTACTTTCGCGCAATACAATGGACGTTGCGCAACGCAGAATTCAAGTTAGAATTTCGCTAGTCGAACAAACGTCGTCCGGGGACAAAAGGAGAGAACGGAGAAAGGAATATCCGGTGTGGGAAACTATTGGCGATGACTTGGGAAGAAGGAAGCGGTCGCATCGCTTCCGTCTGGCTGGGATCCAATTCGAAGAATAATTGTTTTTCATTGTGTCAGACGGTAAAAGTGAAAGATCTTTTGCATCGTTCGATTCCCTTGGCGCCAAATGAGACAAGAATGAGACTTTTTATCGAACTCGAATGTTATTCATTTTCGCATAGCTCTTCAGCAATAATTTTATTTCCTTTTTTTTTTTAAATTGATGATTTAAATAACGGGAATGCTGAATAACGTTAAAATTCCCTCGGCGCGGTTGATTCGTTTGACGGGACAAACAAGATTTCCTTTGACTTAATTCGGACTTGAACGTGACAGGACAGATTTTTCACACGAAAAATCCAACGTCTCCGCACCCAACGTGTCGCTTTGTAGATATAAAAAATGCATTTCATGAACGATATTGTGTCGCGCTTTGAAAATTTTCAAGACGAGCGCCTCTTAAAGATCGGACACACGCGCTTTGCGAATTTTTCAATCACGTTTCGCGCTGACAGGATTAATAAAGCACCAAGTCGCGCTCCGCTCCATGCCGCCCTGCGCCGCGAGCGGAGTTTCCAGACTCATTTCATGCAAAATCGAATTGGATTTCCAGGTCCCGGGACCGGTGTGTATAACTGTGTGTAATCCACGAGAGGTAGAAAGAGACCGAGATGAAGATAGATAGGAAGCGAGAGGGAGAAATATGCGGCTGGGATGCACGTCTCTTTGATGTGCGCCGCCGGGTCGGAGCGTCGCGACGCTCTTTCAGCGAGCGAGCTGCACTTTGTTACATCGACGCTAAATAATCGGTTTATAAAAATTCATGGCGTCTAGTGAGGCGGGTTTATATCCGGCACCACTCGGACCACGCGTTTCCCTCCGACTATTCCGCATCCCTTCACATCTCCACCACAATATCGCCAGCCGGACGATATGACGAGAGCTCGCGCATTAAAAAGAGAGCAAAAGAATATTCGTACACCATTCCGGAAAATTTCCATTGGGATGAAAGCGAAAGGTCAAGAAAATTATATAAAAAAAATTATTCGATTAAAAAAAATACAAAATTATAGAATATTTAACATCGAATCCTATCGAGCAATGCTTTCCGTCGCTTCATTGTTAAAAAAAAAAATTATAATTAATTCTAAATTTTTTAATTTTTCTCAGAAAAAAATCAATGAATTGTTGAAGATCTAATAAATAAGTAAGATTTAATTTTAAATCATTCTTAAGTCAGAAAATATAAGAATGCAGACATACAATAAAGAAATGTTAAGTATGATTAATACGTTGCTCAGTGTGATTAATACGTTGTTATCATGCATACCGACAGGAAATTAAATGATAAAATTATTTAGATGAAAAATAATTGCGCGCGCGCGCGCGCGCGCGCGTGTGTGTGTGTGTGTGTGTGTGTGTGTACACGCATAGCACGTTGTAGAGTAAAATAGTAGAATGATGACGTAGACCAATTACTCCCGCAGGAGAATGCACTAGCACTACAGATAATACGACCGCATTGTTAGCGATGATGACGTACGCATATTTAGAGTACTTTATCAAGTAGGTATCAAGTTTAATTTTTCATGATTCATTCGTGAATATAATTTATAAAAAAAAAAAGAAGAATAGCGTCCATAGATCGAGTCTGTCGATTAATGTGGCGTATCTAAAAGAGAAATTTTATCGTCGCTGAACAAGTTATCTGGAAGGTGCAGATAGCACCTGTAACAGACGAGTCGTATAGAGAAAGGACACCTTGACGATCCATAGCGCCTCACGGAAAATACCTACACCTCTAATCAACTCTTCAAAAAGCCACCGTGTGTCGTTATAACGGCGAAATACACATACTCCGTTCTCAATCTCCTCCCCTCGGCCCCGGAAACATGCGAGGTAACACACGTATCGCGCGCTCCACCCACGTGAAATTAAATTAGAAGGAAAATATTCGGAGAGCCGGCCAGCGCTTTTGTGTGTGCGGCGAAATAGCAAGAGATAAAGGCCACGTGTATGCGTGTATCGGTGTTTCCCAGTGGCAGAGGATATATTCGCGCTGGCACGTTCGAGTGGCGCAACCGCTAAAAACGTACCCGATCCACCCCCACGGCACTATCCTCCGCTCAATCTTCAACCCTCGACCGTATTCGCTTTCCCCACGATTCGTCTTTGTCGGGACGTTTCAGACGCACCGCGTTATCTCTCATTCTCTTTCCGCGTTCTTCCGCACGCGGTCGTTCGTGCAATCGTAACGATGCATCGGAAAATGCAACGAGACAAATATCGCAATGCGAATCTGCGAATTTAATTCAAGTTTTAGGTTTCTGAAAACTAAATTAATCACACGATGAATACAATTCATCACTTATTAAAAATTGAATACAAGTTTACATATAATACAACTTCATCTACTTAAAAATTCATGCTTTATCTTAATTGCTCTATGAAATTCATTCGAAAATCGCTAGTATTTACAGGAAACTACTTTTCTTCATTGCAGTTCTCTTAGTGCGAGGCTTCGAAGCATCGGAACCGGCAAACGTCACCAGCGTTGTTTCGGAGGACGATGGGGATGAACTACTATCGAATATGAATCTGACAACGTTCAAGGAAAGATACCGAAGGTTAATACCCTACATGACTTTTTACGTCGCCAACAATTACTTGAACACTCAAGCTGCGTTAGCACAAAATTATGCGAACGAATTGTCAGGTACCTTGCTTCAGAAACTCCCGTTGCAGCAACCTCTAACTCAGTTCATTGCTATGTCGAGACAAGATGGTAACAAATACCGCGTCAGTTCACCCAACCAAGACAAGAAATTCGTTCCGTCAGTGCAATTCGATCCCAGAAATATCGGAGGTGACAACGACTATTTCGCGCCAGTCAAATATAACGCCAAGGTCAACTACGCCGACTATTCCACTCCGTCTTATCAGTTGTATCAGGTGCAAAAGACCTATCCCGAAATTACTACGCCTGCCAGTCCGATCCTGCACAAGGGCAATCGGTACTTCGTCACTGCAAGACCCTCCTTACGACCTTTCGCTCCCGTGGTTAAAAAACCGCTGCTCGGCAACCCGCAGGACGATTACGATCAGGATTACTCGGGAAGGCCGTCGAACGCCGCTGTTAATTATCCCAACAAGGAATTCGAGAGATTGAGATACATTCCGTCGGTGCACGCGAATGTGCAGCCGGTAAATCCGACAGTCGTCTCGCAGGTCTATCGGAAGCCGAATGTGAACAATCTGATCGAGAGTTTCCAACTGTCTGAGCGACTACCGGAAATGTTGAACAAAGACAACATCGATAGTAGCATCAAAACCCTCGTGGAGATTCTCAATATCTTGCACAATACACGGCAGGAAGATTTTCCGCAACTGCAAAGACCATCGCTACCACCGCCCTCGCCACCCAGAGTGATCGGCTACGTTTACAAGCCGAAAATATATACGCGACCGAAAGTGATCACCGAGACGAGATTCCAGGTGACACCGAACCCTCTGCTAATCACCGACGATCCCGAAAGATATAAAGCGACGGACGACGATGACCAAATCAAATCGCCACTGCAATCCGATTACAATATAAATCATGTAAAGGATGAAAAAATAGAATACTACATACCCTATGTTCAAGAGGTCTCGACCGAACCCAAGCAACAAAAACCCAAACCAACCCCCTCGCCTGCAACCCCCACTGAACACTCGTACGAGATCACGGAAGACTTGAGCGATGACATCCTGCATGACGAACGGTACACCCTGCCAACCGAGGCATCGACGAGTAAGGAATACGTAACACCGAACGAAGTAACACGCCCGGGACCGAAAAAGCCGCAGCCGGCGTTAAAATACGGTGCGACACGCGGAAAACCCAATGTCGACTATCCTGCATACGCGACTATACCGGAAACGAAATTCAGTTGCAAGGAGCAAAGATACAAAGGATTTTTTGGCGATCCAGCAACTGGATGTCAAGTGAGTACAACAAAAATTATAATTTATTCTCACATGAAACTATAGAATATCTCTTATACACAACTGTCAGAATTTTTTATAAATACTAAAAAAGATTTTAAATTTAACACATGTATTGCATGTCCCAAACAATTTATATATTCAAATTTATTATATGTATTACTTAATATAAACATAATAGAAATATATTATTAACAAATATTAATTAGTTATTTTAATATTTTTACACAAAATAAATGCAAATTTTATAACAAAATTAAGTTAATACATCACGTAAAATTAACAAATTATGCTCACATTTTAAAGAATTGTTTCAATAATTTTATATCTTAAATTATTTAAACACACACACACACACACACACACACACACACACACACACACACACACACACACACAACAACAAAAGAACAATTCAGTTCAACCAACAAACATGTGTTAAATGTACACGTAAATGTTGCGTAAATGTTTTAATACAAATATTTAACTGGAATATTTTTTAACACATGAGACTCTCGTTTACTACCGTTTGTAATCGTTTATGCACGTTTATAAATTTTAATTTCTATTTTCCTTACGACTTCCTTTGATTGTTAAGTTTAAATATCTGTTATTATTAGAACTATTAATTTCTGGAATTGTTTAATGATGATAATATCATTCTCAGGTATGGCATTACTGCGATCTCAACGGCGGTAAATCGTCGTTCTTATGTCCGAACGGCACGATATTCAGCCAGGTAGCATTAACCTGCGATTGGTGGTTCAATGTAAAGTGCGAAACGACTACTCAATTATACGTGTTAAACGAACGTTTGTATAAATACATTCTACCAATTATGCCCAAATTTCCCGAAGATTTTACCGGTCCGGAAGTAGATCGATATTTGGAACTCAAGTTCAAAGAAATGGAGGCGAAAATGAAGGAAAAGAAGTTGAAAGAGAAGAAATTGCAGCAAGAGGAGAAGAATAAGAACAAGAGCAAGTCACAAACGGCGGACGATAACGGCGAAGAATAAACATAGAGCGTTAAATTAGAGCTAAATTATTATGTGCTAAATAATTTAGTCTTAACGTAAAATATCTGACTCGTTGCCATTATAACGAAAAGCAAAAATATGTCGCGGGTAAACAAGGCCACAATGCTCTATAATAATGAGCCTTGCGACTCGGAAAAGTGCAATATGTATATGATAGAGTTATATGTGATTTAAAGATGGAATGAATCACATTACGTCTAAAATAAGTTAGACTATCTCACGGTCTCTGTACGGGTATAAAATGGCTGATGATATTAAGTATTTCTTATATTCTCTCTAGTCATATGTGTGTACTATTGTGTACTATTTATCATGAAAAATGCCCGCCATTCTGCGAGTTTTATTCTTTTCGATCTACACTGGAATAGTCCAATTTGAGTCACAGATAACTTTCAAAACAAATAACATCATGTTTTCTGCATGATTCAAACAAAACACTTTTATTAATAAACACAAATGGCACAGTTTCTAAACAATTTATAAATCAAGGATTATGAAAGTTATTTATGGCTCAGCATTATAGATATTGTCATAATTGTGCAATGTCAAATCGCACAAATTTATACATCTCAATAGTAAATGACGTAAATAGTAACACTTATAGAAGTACTGTTACGCGTTGAAAACATAATATTTTTATGCGTAAATCACACTTGTAGAAAAATTAACTAGGTTTCGCCATTTATCCATAAATATTCTACTTCAATCGAAATATGACGGCTAGATTGATATATGTAATCGTTTATATTTATATAAAGTATGTACTTCTATCATGTATTTGTGAGGATATGACTAGACTACTTTATTTATAATTTATCAGAAATCGTTAAAAGATCACGTTAAAGTAATGAGCGATATAGCTGAAGTTGAATATCGCTAAACGACCATATGTTATCTCTCTATGCGTACCTAATATTTTGTTAAAAGTATTAATAAATTTATTTATTTATCGTTTTGTGGCATATACGTCTCGTATGAGCAAATGAGTTTCTTGCCAGAAAAAATATTTAATAAAAATTGGTACTCACCTCTTTCGTCTTATGAACTCGTTGCAGAGTTTCCTCGATGCAGTTGTAAACCTTATTGAACTCGAACATCAGCATCTCGTTCTGTCAATAAAACATAAATAGTTTAAGTTTTTTTAATAATAATATATATTTAATTTCTTATAATCTGAGTTACTAACTTTTTCTGATAGTGCCACATAGTCATGCAGCTTATGCAAACACAAAGTGCAATTTGAACAGCAAGCCACATTACAGTCATTACAAAAATAGCTTAATTGTTCAGAACATGTTGATGAACAGCTATTCAAAATACTACCAGGATTGGAATCTCCATTGTTTATTGGGATTTGTGTGTGACTCTGTAATGCTCTTCCATGAATCTAAAAAGCAGAATAGAGATCATAAAATATTATAAATATAATACATTTTTAATTATATCTTGTTTATTATGTGCCAATTTACTTTTGAGTAACAGCAATGACAATATAGAGCCATGCATTGTGGGCAGTTTACATGAGCTTGATTTCCACATTCATGACAACATCCTATAAGTAAAAATATATATTAAATCTTTTTCTTTTTATAAAACTAATTTCAACTAATTTTACCTGGTATAAAGTATTGTATTCTCTAACCTTGCCTCGCTATCTGACGTAACTGTGTAGATAATTTGTGACAAAATTTAAAATCTTCATCGTCGTTTTCCAATGGACGATTGTGGGATGAAACAATCAGCCCTAATGCATATAAATTCAATGGCAGTAAGGATTTTTGACCATTGTCTTGTAGAATCTTATCACAAGAAGGACATTTTTTAATGTTTGTAGTGTTAGCACATTTAGAACATACTGGATGCCCACATTTTAGCAATAAAGGTATCAGAGTTCCTTTCGATATTGATCCATTCAGGTTCAGGTTTGATAAATCTGTAACAATTTTGTAAAAATCTTTCCTTTTTGATCTAACAAACTGTTTATTATAATTTCAAATATAAACAGTATCTAAGTTATATATTTCTCTATTTTATAATAGAATAACAAGATAGAATAAGACAAAATTACATCAGCTCTTAAAATATTATACAATATATAAAACATAATTAGTATTTTCTCTACTTTAATATTAAAGTATTTTAACACTGTCATATTTATTTCTACTAATGTCAATTATTTTGATTTTATTTATCTCTTTATCTTATAATTCTTAGAAAAATGAAAAGATTAGTTACACCAGGAAAGTTAATGTACGCTGATAAAAGTGGACATCAGTCTTCAGTAATGATAATGCGTATATATTTGAATGAGAAACACAACTGAATATAAAATACAAAACATTTTATTTCATGATAGACTTGATCATTTTAAGAATATCACATAATAGGATCTGTTTCTATAATTGAATTAGTATACATTTGTTGTACTTGAAATAAATATATATTTCAAGTTTAATGCAAGCGAAAAAAAAGAGTTTTGATGTCAAAAAACAGGCCTGTAGTTTTCACATATGATAAACACATATGTTCATGGAACAGATACACAAAATGATGTTGCGCCACAGGATGCATAAAATTCTAACCTCTCACGGTACAGCCGGATCATGGGAAAAAAAACCTTGTTCCCTCTTTCCGGCAATATCGAATTCATCGGCATCGTGCAAAAAGCATATCCACGACGAAAAACATATCACGAGATATGGATGTCTCGGATGGATCTTGTAAATGCAACAATGCCGATAATTAGTAATCGTGCCGGTAAAAAGCGAATCGATAGGCGATGGCGTTGCGCGTTCCGGCATGGACATGCGACATTACCTGGCAAATAAAACTTTTTCTTGCAGAAGACGCAGACGACGTTCTTCAACTTCGTGCTTGGGACTTCATGATACACCGATAACGACTGGTTCCTCGTCGTATTTGTTCGCGATATCTCCGTAACGTACGGATGCATCTTGCGCGAGATCGAACGTGAGTAGACACGCGGCGTATGTCCGCCACGCTGTCGACAATTCGCGCCCGACAAATTGTTCATAACCGATCAAAAACAAGACGCAACGCAAACGAGCGAACGGATCCCGTCCCAATTTCAAACTGGCAACTGCCGCGGTTCTGTTACGTCCTACCCATAAACACTTGCTGTCGCGCACAAAAGTCTTATCTTTTGCCCCCCTTATTTTTTGCTTAGTTTTGACTGACCGAAGCGTCCGAACGTCACAACAGTTTCAAATAATCAAATAATCCGTAAACACAGATCATTTCTAATAAAAGGTCTGTAGTTAAGCTTTTTGCTCCATTCGTTCTTTCTTTTTTTTCTCTAGTATACGACAATCGCAACCATGGCCATTGATATAATTACAGAACTTTAGAACTTTCACAGTTTAGAGCTCAAACAAGAATAGAAATAAGATTAAGAAATAATGACATCATATGCGTATCCAAGATTTTTTCGAAGGATTCTGTTAATGCGTAAACAGCAATTTTTTGCGTTAATAAATTGCTTTTTTGGAAACAAACGTGTCATTGCAAAAAGAATTCTTATATTCGCCCTCGCTAAGGACTGGAATAAGGTATACACATTTTTCAGTTTAAACTATAAGAATTAGGAAGTAAAATTTATCATAATTACATCGATTTGCGATGATCGTGCCGATTTTTCGATTGTTCGGCGCCTCGCTGCAGCCGCGTAGCAAACCACACGAATTCAATCGGCGCGAATTCGCGCCACAATGGACAATCTACCGAGCGAAATTAGACGACTGCTGCTGCCTGGCGAGCGATCGATGCGGCTCGCTTCGCCTCGCGCGAACCGAGCGAACACGCGATGAGACGACGCGCGTCGGAAGCGATCGGGAGCGTGACTCGAGTTCGCGTTGTCAGATGACGCTGCGATCCGATCGGCGGCCGCAGCGATGTGGCTTTGCCAAAAACGCAAAAAGATAAATAGCTAAGTAGAACGTAACGCGAATGACGGCTATGTCCGCCTAGATCTTCTAGGCGCGGCTCGCCCGGTCGCCGGCCCGCCGCCGGTCCGTTATGATCCCACCCAACTCCCGCCGAGCGATCGCTCCAGCGAGCAGCAGACTCGCGAAGCCGCGCGTCGTCGGATTCCTCTCCTCTCCTTCCTCCGCGATATCGTCCCGTCCGCGTCCGCCCGTTCGTCCTTCCCGGCCTTGGCTCTTCGCCACGCAACGCCGCGCTTTCGCCGCGTGTCGATCGGAATTATCGCCGGCCTGACGACGGGATGGAAACGCGCGACCGAGACGATTTACGCATCCTGAAAGTCTGCGCGCGTGACGCGCGAATTTTGATGTCGTTAATAATATCGCCGGCGACGTCGGTGGCGGCGTGGCAATGCCGGAGAAACGCTCGCGTTTCGAGAATGCTCGATTCCCGCCTGCCGTCTGTTCTTCTCGCCGCTGTTGATCGATCGGCCCGTTCCGCGCCAACTTCAGTTCGCCTTCGTCGCTCCCGAGGCGCTTCCCGTTTCGCGTTTCCTCGAAGAAACTTTTAAAATAGAACTTTCAACCAATGAATCCGCTACCGTTCACGAATCAATTTCTTCTGGGTAAGAGCAATTCTCGGAAGAAGATGTACAGATAAAAAAGATTACCGTCCGAATGATTATTATCGAATCGTCATTTGTTAAGTGTGTTCTCCAAAATGGATCGCGAGAGATGTCTGCAAAGAATGATACACATTTATTGGAGCCTAGTTACGTAAAGCTCGCGTATCCGCTCTTCGAGTTCGCGCGAAGACGTAGATTCGATCAGCCACGATCGTATCGTGTCCTTTAGGCGCCGCTCCGTCATGATCTCCTTACGTAATTGACGCGGAAGAGCCGCGAGACGGCCGACGATCGCGAGCGAGCGATCTTGAGCCGTCGTCGCCTCTGTTGTTTGAAACAACAGTCGCGCGGCCTCTCTGGACTAGGCGAGTGAGCGAAGGAGCGGAGGCAAGGTCTAGGCTGGCTGGCATTCAAGGTCGCGTGTATAGCGCAAAGCCCGGATCTATCCCCGCCCCAGATTTCTAGCGCGCCCTTCGCTCCTCGCTGTCACGCCGTCCCACACTCGCGTTTCTTTCCCTCCCCCCTTCCTCCTCGGTCCTCTCTCTCTTACTCTCCCTCCCGCGTGGCGAAGTCTTCTCTCTCTCTCTCTC